TTCCAAGTCGTTATACTGATTGATCTACTTACGGGGATGATATCTAGGTTGGATTTTGTGAGGTGTTTAAAGTGGGATTTCCAAACAGTATACTTTGTATACGAAATAGACCCTACCTCCGATATGATCCTACCTGGTTGTCTCTTATCAACTACAGATCAGTAGACTTTGAATTAATGATGAATCTAGACTAATAGTTAGTCGCAATAAATATTAGACTAAGACTTAGTGATAATGATACTAGGTTACGTCAAAGGAAAAGATAGTTGCTAGAAGCGAAGCGCTGTCCAAATTTCGAATCGTCACTTTAACAAGTGAGTGCGTAGTTAATTTCATCTTACACATAGATATGAAGTATTTAATATAAATACATGCTATATGCCTATTATTTATGTTCCTGGTATCTATGCTAGATGAACGATTTATACATGTTTTACTTGATTTAAACTGTATATGTATTTTTATACCTATAAATATATTGGGTAAAGATGGGTAGATGAAAGATGATGTAGATGATGAGAGATGAAAGATGATATAGATGATGAGAGATGAAAGATTAAATAGATTATGAGAAACCTTGACATTAAAGATGACGTTATATAGTAGAGTTTAGATGACAACCACAGATTATTCTAGACAGTCTAGTGGAACGCTATCAGGCTCGCAACCTGTAGGTATTTTTGAACTAAGTGTTCACCAGATGTACTCTAAAAACCCATTGCCATGTATTGTGGGTGGACTCCCTAAAATAATATTGTCAATAAAGGAGATAAACCCTGGCAGCTATGGACTTAGTGCCTATTAAATAAACACTGGCAGCTATGGACTTAATGTCCTATAGATGAACATTGGCATATGTGGACTTAGTGCTTTATAGATGAATATTGGCATCTTTGGACTTAGTTCCTAATAGATAACATCGACAACTATGGACTTAGTGCCTATTAGATAAACCTTGGCAGTGATGGACTTCGTGCCTATTCCATAGGACAAATCCTTAGGAATAAATATAGAAGAGTACCTACTGAGAAGTATCAGGGAGGATTCCTTGAACTAGTATTGTCAGCAGGATGATCCCTAGGGTAAATCCTTAAGAATAAAGAAGATAACGGGGATGGAAAATCGGGTTAATTGTTGATGATTAAACATAATTAGATTATTGTGGGTTTAAAACCCATGTACTCACCAGGTTTCCCAACCTGACCCACTAAGTTTATTGTATCACATGTAGCGATATTAAAGATACATTCTGTTGAGAGATTCAATAAGTATTGGACCACTAGTTTAATTACCGTAAGGCTTGTAATATTTCGTTACGCTTATGTTTCTGTATTGATGATGACATACCAATGTTTTAATATAAGTAAAATACATTTCTTCGGAAATGCTTTGATAATATCGTTATCATGTTTTCTGGGAATAAATTCCGCAACATTAGGATACTCTGATTTTTAAATAAGCATAAACAAATCGGTATTTTCTTGCCGTGAAATTGGGGATGTCACATCTAAGTTTCACTCATGGACCATTTTTATGCTAGAAAGTTGGGTTCTTGTCTCCATTCCAAGCCATACTAGGCACTTTGGTCATTTGGGTCCTTTTTGAGAGTCAGGGTTGAAGATTTTGCTAGATTGGTAATGATGAATGGAAAACTTTATCCATGCTAATCATTAGAGGATTCAGATCTGAACTTTAGAGTTGTGGACATTACAGATTAAGAGCTTATAAGATTAAGCTAATTTGGATATAAATCTAGGTTCAATGATTTGTATGTCTCGAGAACCAGTAGCGACTGTTTTGGCATTTAGTGGTCGTGTCGTGACCAAGGAGCTGACCGCAATGCGGTGGTCAGTGACTATTGACCATTGACTTTTTGTCCGCTTTGACTTTTGGTCAAATTTGTTGGGAATTAAACTATAGGCTAAGTATGGACCTCTAACTGATTTCTAGGTGGTTTGTGTTGCTGATTCTTCCTTATAGCGAATGTTTGTTGTTTAAGTTTCTGATTCAGGTGAGTCTTATCAATATATTACCTATGTTATGATTGGATCCTCTGTGTGTTGGATGTCTATGTAGTACTATGATATATTAGTATTCTTAGCTAGACCAGTAGGGTCTTGAATAGGGATTATTGTTTGATGCTTGTTGAGTGGTATGTTATGTGCTTTGTTGGGCTGATGACAAAATTATGATAGGTCGTGAGTGAAATAGTGCTTGGTGGGTTGATGATAAGATCAGGTCATGTCATAAGTCAAAGGGTACCCAACTGTGATGTTTGTAATATTTTGGAGAACTACTAAGTTTTGTGCTTACAATTGTGGATTAAATATATTTCAGGTTGTGCTTCTAGCAGTTGGAAGGCTCCAACTTGACCGTGACATGCACATCTCCTATCTATTATGTTATTTGGCTTCCATAATTTTTGATACATATTATGGGGTTATCATGATTTGAACCTTTTGGTACTTTCGATTTTTATAAAACATCATTTTGTAATGTTTAATTTATATTTGAAAAATGAAAAAAAAATGGTTTAAAATTTAGGACGTTACATAAATGTACACACTACAAATGACCAACCCTTCATTTAAAATGAACACACTACAAAAAACCACTCCAAATTGTCACTCTAAAATGAACACACTACAAAAAACCACTCCAGATCTTCATGTGTTGGTGTTTCCAAGTAGAATGTCCAACAAGAGAGGTGATGGTCCGACAACTAGGATGACAGTCTGGTGAAAGGGTGACAACTCACGTAGCTCTTCTCCTTTGCACATATCCAAAAGACAGAGAGGGTTGTAAGAGAGAGGGAGGGGGGGTATAAGATGATGTGGATGGGGAAGAGTGGGGATTAAGGGTGTATTTTATTTTATCTTTTTTTTAATTGTATAATAAAAAGAAAATGAAAAAAAAAAACTGTATAAGGACAAATTAGTCATTTAATATAGAGATGGACTAAAACCACATAGAAATCCACTTATAAGAACTATATATTTGATTTTGAAACTTTAGGGATGGAAACCATTTTGAAACTTTAGGGATGGAAATCAGAAAAAAAACACAAACAAGAAGAACAATTTTTTTTTTTTTTTGCAGTTTTGTCTGAATAATAAGATAACAATTATATATATATATATATATATATATATATATATATATATATATATATATATATATATATATATATATATATATATATCATTTTTTAGAAATGAAATATATAGAAGATATGTTGTGTTGAATTGTCGAAGACCTAGTCTCTAGCTTTTGTATGTGATATTCATGTAGAAGAGTTGTACTCTATCGAAGGTTATACTCCTTGGATATATCTCTTTATTAAAGTGCTCATATGTTTTTTTATATATTTTGATGTTGAAGTCACACGGTATATTTTGTTGTCTGTCGATAGCATTATCACTTATAAATAGTGTTGTAGTCTTAAGTATTAGGTGTGTAAGTTCATTCTTCGTACACTTGTACTTGAGACTCATTCCACACATAATAGAGCTTAAAAGAATTATTTACTTCAGTGTATTCATTTTGCTTATTGAATTCATTACTAGATTGAATCCTGAATGATCAAAATATTATAATTCTAATGAGAAGGAACAAGATATTTGATTTTCATTTTATCTTTAGTGTGAAAATAACCAAATCTTAAAAACCAACTAAACATTTCTACGTTATAGCAAGATCTACTTTTTGCAACATTTAATCTATTCTGTTAAGTATGAACTTAATAAAATGTTTCTTACCTATCTTTAATCTTGGATCAATTCGAAAAGCTGGTAAAAATAAGGGAAACATTACTATTCTAGTTACTCTGCATGCAATAATTCACAAGTATGTCGGACCAAAGATTCAGACTCCATCGAAGGTGTGTCATTTTACACTGTCTATGGGTGGTGGTGTGTGTGTGTGTGTGTGTGTGGGGGGGGGGGGGGGGGGTAAAGTATTGTTTTCAAATGGAATTTAACTGGGAATATCAAGATCATGCAGACACTTTAATCAACCAGTGGGCCAGATAGATCTTATCAAGTTAAAAAGAAAAATAATATATGAAATCTTAGATTGACAAATGGAAGAAGCCAAAAAGACAAAGTTTAGGAAATCAAATCATCTGATGATCAACAACACATCAATCAATCTCATCAGCATCAGTAGCACACCTACGAGTTCTTGAACCATTGATTGATGCATGAATGAATCGGTGGGATTTTAACTGTCTTTTTCATTCAAAGAGTGGTAAATATTCTCCACGAGTCTAACAACATAGAAACAGACAATATCAATACCATAAATAGGGTACAAAAGATAGCCCACTTTCTTTCTAAATTTTCATTTTACGATTTGGAGTACACCCACAGAGAGAAAGAACGGAACTTTTTGAGTCCCCCAAAGAAATTTGTAGTAAGCCATCACAAGCATATTAAAAAAGCTGAAGAGGCTGCAGCTGATGCTTTTGTTGTTGTTTTGTAGTCAGGGAAAGGTGTAGGGGACCATTGTATATTATATATATGCTTATATTTAATTCATGTCCTTTTACTAATTTTTCACTTGGGTTGCATAGCTGAGTTTTATAGGTTTTGTTGGTTTGCATAGATCTTGCAGAGGTCTATCGCTTGCAAGATTTCAGCTGCTTCTCAATGCATGCTTGGACAGAGAAAGTAGAGAGAGAATCTTTTTGCTTTTTGCGATAAATCTAGTAACATTTTAACCAAAGTTGAGGTACGTTTCCAAACTCTAAATTTGTTTCTCTTTGCTTTCCACATTTTGCAAACTTCTTTAAATCTTGGTTTCCAAAGTTTCTTGCTTTTTTTCTAAGTATTACAGTAAACGTCATTCTCCTTTATCATCCATCTTCTTGTTCTTCTTCATTCTTTATTTTCTAGAACTCATGGGAGCTTATAATCGGTGGAAATTTTGACTAATTGCAAAGATTTTGTTTAAGAGTTGGGGTTTGAGAAAAATCTTGTTTGGGTTCTTGTTTGCTGATCATGGTGTCACCAGATTCCAATACAAACTCTAACAACATTCATCAATTTCTCATTTCAAACCCAACCCACTATGAAAGTCAACCTTTTGAGGCTTATGGAGTTGACTTGAGAGGTCTTGGTTCATACCAGCATCAGTCTCTCAATGTACTTCCCACCATTCAGTCTTTTGGTGAAAGAATTTCAAGATCCATTGATCTTATTCAAGCTCCTTCAATGGCGGAAGAACAAGAACTTAACCAACATCACCATAACCAGAAACTTTCACTTTCTTTAGGTTCTGGTTTGCTCTTTCCTTCCTCAACTGAATACAGAGGGGAAAGATGTTACTTGGTTTCCGAAGAAGAATTACAAGAAAAAACAAGAAAAGCTTTTAACCCTTCAGATTATTCTTCTTCGTCTTCACTTAACCAATCTTCTTCCACCTTTTATGGAACAGAATCACTCTCGATATCAGTAGGTAGTTCGAGGTACTTGAAACCAACTCAGTCTCTTCTTGAAGAAGTAGTTAGCGTCGGTGGGAAGGATCTTGATTCAAGCAACAAGTCTTATGCGTGTAAATTATCATGTTCGGGTAGACAAGGTTCGTTAGGGTTATGTTCGGAACTAAAAGCAGAATTATGCAGTAATGGGTTGCCATTTGAGAAACAAGAACTTCAAGCGACATTAGCAAAGCTCATTTCTTTATTAGAAGAGGTAACCCATATATTATTAAATAACTTTCAACGATTTATCATAAAAAACAAAGTTCAAATTAAATGTTTCTTGGATTTATTTATTTTCAGGTGGAGAGAAGATACGATCAATATTATCAGCAACTAGAAGATGCGGTTTCCTCATTCGAAATGAATGCAGGTTTAGGATCAGGGAAGTCATACACTGCATTAGCACTAAATGCGATGTCAGGACACTTTTCGAGCTTGAAAGATGCAATTTTGTCACAGATTTATGCAACCCGAAAGAAAATCTTGCAAGATTTACCAAGAATCAACATGGGTTTTTCACAACTCAGCTTGTTCGATAAAGAAAATAATAGACACAACCGTATAGCCCTTCAACAGCTTGGAATGATGGCTAGCCCACGACAAACTTGGAGACCAATTCGTGGTTTGCCGGAGACTTCTGTCATGATACTTCGATCTTGGCTCTTCGAGCATTTTCTCCATCCGTAAGCATGATTATAATAACATATCTTCTTGTACTTTACGTTGTGTTTTCTCAAGATTTGATTAATATTAATTTGTTCTTGTTGCAGATATCCAAACGACAGTGAAAAACTTATGTTGGCATCACAGACGGGATTGTCAAAGAACCAGGTAAGTAACTGTTACGGAATACGGAGGCTTATTGATTTATGTGAATGTGATTATTGTTTTTAATGTTATTAAGCGTCTTCCAGGTGTCCAATTGGTTTATAAATGCTAGGGTCCGACTGTGGAAACCAATGATCGAGGAAATGTACAAGGAAGAATTTGCAGATTCATCCGAGGATTCAAACTTGTAACCTGGTACAAAGAAGGGCGTCACAGAACCTGGATAATGAAGGTTGCAGCGATGTTAACATCTGTGAAATGTGTAGGATTTTAATGGGATTTTCACAGTCGAAGACTAGAAATGAATGCACACTTTTGTCATCAAGTTAATTGGATGAAACTGTCCTGGGGTTGAACTTTTTGACCTCAAAAGGGTAACAAATAAGTGTTCATTAATGGATCTACAAGCATCTAATTTTGTGGCAAGTAGTACTTGTATTTGATGAGTCATTTTCATTTATGATGACTGTTATAAGTTCTATAAATGAGCTTTTTCTATAAAGTGAAAGAAAATCGTTCAAAATCTTCCATCTAGTAACTAGGGTTTTGCATGACTTGATTCAAACCAAGAATCCAAACCAAACCAGATTCAACTAGAATTCGGTGTTAATTAGTTTTCATGACCAATAAAAACCCCTATGCTAACCAAATCTCATGTAGATTAGTATATCTTTATTAAAGATGAAGATTATAATATTAGCTAGTTATCTATTTTTTGTAAATAGTAAGGTATCTCTATTTTTGATTGATGGCCCTGTACAACTTATATTTATAATATCACTTTCTATTAATGAAGTATGCTTATGAAAACTACACCTTGGATTTGGACATGCTAGTCTAACAGGGAGACTGGACTCTTGAAACATTCACAGCTAATAATGGGGCTTCTAGACGATTAGGATTTGAGTACAATGACAGATTTAGTGACGGATCAAATATGTCGCTAAAGTCTCACCATCATAACAACAATGTAATATTTTTTGCCAAAGTTATGGACAACTAACTATATATCATGCATTTTGTTAAGGGTAAAAGACATTGTAACAAAATGAACTATGTGTTTTGTCCCAAATTAGTTATTAACGTTATTTTTTTGCACAATAGGTCACTAAACTTAACATTTACTTGTTAAGAAAGAGTATGCATATACTCTTTGTTTCCCGGTTTCACTGGTGATGCTAGAATGAAATGATCCACGTCTAGTCCTGATAAATAAGGTGATTATTTTAATTTTTGATAATTTTAAAAAATAAGTAAATATGTATTAAGAAACCTAGATCGGTCGACACCTTCTTCACGCGTCTTCTCTCTTCTTCTTCGGCCTCCATTACACCGCCTCTCGCTCCCACTCTCCTCTTCTTGGTTGATTGCACTCGAAGCCACATCCAGTTCTCCCTTTCATTGGAGCATATTTATGAGAGGGAGGCGGTAAGGGAACCATAATTGTCGGATTTCGCCTCCGGATGAAGAAAGAGGTTGTGGGGGGAACAGTCGGTTACTCGTAAAGCATAAATGATCTATTTTATTGATTAATCCATATCCAGAAGTGGACGTGAGAAGTATGTTCCCGACCAGATTCATCGAGGATCACAAGTCGTTATTGTGTCTAAGTTCATAACTAAATTGATATATATATTTTTGTAATTAAAAACAAAGTTCTTTTGGTTGCCCTCATAACTAGAACTTGATTAGAATGATATTTGTAGAGAGAGAATAAATTCATTAGTCTATTATATGATTAATAAATTGTTGTAAATAATTTGTTAATATATTATATGATTAATATATTAATTGGAAATAGATAGTTGATTTGTTAATTTATTATGTGATTAATAAATTAGTATGAGATCAATTGTTAAATAATTGATTTGTTAATTTATATGATTAATAAATTAATATGAAATCAATTATAATTGATTAATTATTAATCATAATTAATCTGCAATTAATTCAGGATTAATTAGAAATAATTAAAGGTGCAAGAGATGGATTATAATTGTTCATAGTTGTGTAAGGAAAGACAATTCTACCTGGTTCCAAATGGTGGACGGTGTAGAACTTTTAGGGTTTCTGGAAGCCTCCTGGAGCTGATAAGGATAATTGTCTTGAATACATAAAATCTGAATATTTTATTATTCAAATCATGGTTTATCCTGGAGATCCCCTAGCTATAAATACATACCCTTGGGCATCAAATTTCGTGGTTCTCGCTTCTATCAGGGTTATACACAAAATTCTCTTGCTCATCCTCTCTTGTCTTTTAGTTATAGGGTTTTATGTGAGCCATTAGAGGCATCATCATTTCGGTGCTAAGCTTTTCAATACCAACAACTACGAGGGATTGAAGTGATTTGTTTGCTACAATAAATCAAATGTATGTAACCCTAATTCCATGGTTTTTATTACATTGGGGTACTTGTTAGTTTTGTTATTCATTGTATGTTATATTCAAAGTGTTGTGACATATATCATTTAGGTTGCATGTGCCCTTAACTGTTAAGTGCAATTCCACAAGCATATAGCTTTTGTAACATATAAAACCTATCAGTGGTATCAGAGCCTCAGTGTATCTAACATTAATTGTACATGAGATTAACTAAATAAAATAAAACTTTCGAAAAAATTGATTGTCACGATGTGACAGACTCCAGTATAAATTCGAATTTCGGGATTTTCCGCCTAATCCGACTTGTGTGGTTATTTTTAGTAATTGTCTGGTTTTAGTTCGGCCGAAAAAAAAATCCGAATTTTGAATCCCTTAGATAACTAAAAACACACAAAATTTCAAAAATGGTCCCTGTTGTTTGTAAAACATAGCAACTTAAGGATACCTTTCATTAGGGTAACACTGGTGGCCTTGTAGTTTCAAAATCAAATACAGTTAGTCATTTTAGCTAACTTTGTTAAAAAAAGGGGTTGAATACTTTTGAAATGACTTTTTTACCTTTCTTTTTTTTTCTTTAATTATTAAGCCTATATAACCCAAACCTAAGCCTTCCCATTCCATTTTCTTCCACCGATGATCAACACTAACACCAACCCTCCCTACTGTCAGTCTCCTCTGGTGACTAACATTTTTTTCAGAAAAAAGGAACACAAAATATTCCCACGCCACCATAGTCAACCCCCACAAAAATCTCTATATGTTATTGCAGCTTGTTATGAAAAAAAACCTATTTTGAATTCACGAATTATAAGGGAAATGATGCATAAAATCCGCATTGCAATAGCTCCGGTCACCACCCTTTTACCTGACGGAAAAACCCAAATCGGTTTTTTCTCTTGCTCATATCTCAAATGCTAAATCGATCAAAGCCTTTTTTTCTATTCAGATTTGACCTTTACCAATATCTTTTTGATTATCAAACGCACGTAAAACAATATCCTTTCAAAATAATCTGAAATCAGTTTATTCATGGGTTGTTTGCTCAAAGAATAATTGCAGTTAAATAATATGGCTTTGAATTCCTCTTGACAACACAAGAAACAATTTAAGGAGTTTTGAAATCCAAGACACGGATAAAAGTTCATGTGAATCAACTATAAACAACTCATGAAACCTTTGAGTTACCTGTCTTTTAAAAGCTTCGATTTTCTTTTCTTGATGTAGGATTTCATGGTCTATGTAGTGAACCACTCATGAAACCTTTGGAGAAGATGAGCCTTGATAATCAGTTCACATTTTCTCTTAACATCAAAAGTAGTAAACCCCACAAACTTGTTTATGAATTTAAGACTGTAGAAACACAAAACGTAAAGCTTTTTCCAGGTGATCACAAAGAGAAACTCCAATTTATTATTGCATTTCACTTTGCATGTTTTACTTCCCTAAGTAATTTTAATATTATTCAAAATTCCACAGTCGTTCATAATTTTGAAAGTAAGTAGTGGATTAAGACTGTATTGAATTGTTTGTAGATTGTCCTTAGGGATTGGACATTGCATACGGATTGCTGTAATATTCATGTGTGCTTGGAAATAGGAATTTAAGTACTGGATAAACTCACGCTTAGAGATTACTTTATGGATTCAATCACAAGTAATTCTAAGACGATAATATCGTCTATTCTTCAAACAGAGATATATAAGTCATATTTTGCAAATCAGTTGTGCATTATTTTACTCCAACGCATCTCGTAACTGGGTGTTATAAAATGTAATTCCATGCATGATTTTGTGAGTAAAATGTATGATTATATTGTCAAAGTTTATTCATTCATTTTGCCTTAACAAGAAAAGCGCTGTCTTTGGGCCTCTCGGTGATTTGAATCGATTTATCAAAACCAGATGCCTGGTTTGAATTAAATTGATGTGTGCGATTTTGTAGTCTAAATTTGATCACAAATCGAGAAATCAGGAAACATAATAAATGAACATGAGGTTGATCATTTAATTCATGACCCTGTTCATATGATATATTGTAGAACGAAGGAATAACTGATCACTTATCTAAGGGTTAAATTTTGATTTGAATCAGGGTTTGACAGTGGCTTTAGAAAGCACACTTGTTGTTTGGTTCAAGGTTATACTTGCATGTGTAGTTATAGAGACTGTTCGATTAGGGTGTCTAAGATCATAACTAAATTGGGATATTCTTGTAACTAAAAGCAAAGTCCTTTTTGGATTGTACTCATAACTAGAACTTGGTTATAATGATATTTATAGAGAGAATATAAATTTATTAGTTTATTATATGATTAATAAATTGTAATAAATAATTTGTTAATATATTATATGATTAATACATTAATTGAAAATAGAAAGTTGATTTGTTAATTTATTATGTGATTAATAAATTAATATGAGATCAAATGTTAAATAATTTTGTGTTAATTTATATGATTTATAAATTAATATAAAATCAATTAAAATTGATTAATTATTAATCAGAATTAATCTGGAATTAATTCGAAATTAATTAAAGGTGCAATGGTTGAATTGTAATTGTTCATAGTTGAGCAGAGAAAGACAATTCTAGATGGTTCCAAAGGGTGGACGGTTTTTATAGAGCTTTTAGGGTTTCTGGAAACCTCTTGGAGCTAATAAGGATAACTGCTTTGAATAGATAAAATATAAATATTTTATTATTCAAAATAGGGTTTATCTTGGAGATCCCCTAGCTGTAAATACTATCCTATGGGAATCAAATTTCGTGTTTCTCACTTCTAAGAGGGTTATACACGAAATTCTC